TTTGATAGCATCTCAATAATTTATCTTTCAAAAAAAATTGTCTAATATTACCAGGTGATATGTGTTATTGAGTATTATGTCACAATTCAAATCTTCAAGTTGTTTCGAAGTTACCCCTTTCATAGTTCCTTGAGTTGCAACTGGCATAAATACAGGAGTTTCAAGTGGACAATGAGGAAGTGTAAGCGTTGCAACTCTGGCTTTTGTTCGTGAGCATTGCGCAATGATTTCCCAGGTTAATGCAGATTTCATGTCGAAAAAACAAGTCAAATCAATTTTGATCTTCGAGATTTTAAAGCATGTATTAATGATTCGATTTAATTTATTCATATGGTAAAACAATTTAATTGAGGCCATAATAAATATTACAAAAATAAAATTGAAATTTATTGCAAACATTAATCAAGTGAAGTCGTTCATTTGTTATCTATGAAATTGAATCATGGTCTTATTGGGAACCCATTTCTCGGGCGATGGCTGAGAGAGAAAAAAGATCATCAATATTCATCCATTGAACATATCATTAAACCAAAATTCGACAAATACCTTCAGCCTTCTTTTTAACATCGTCAATATCACCAACCATATAGAAAGCAGCTTCTGGCAAATCATCGCACTTTCCATCCAATATCTCCTTGAAAGAGCGAATTGTATCTTTCAAGCTTACCAAACGCCCTTCAAATCCGGTAAAAACTTGCGCGACAGCAAACGGCTGACTCAAGAATCTTTGAATTTTTCGTGCTCTTTCCACAACCTGTTTATCCTGTTCCGACAACTCGTCCATACCCAGAATGGCGATAATGTCTTGGAGCGATTTGTAGTCTTGAAGAATTTTTTGTACACTGGTGGCGACTGAGTAATGTTCTTCGCCGACAATACGAGGATCAAGTAGACGTGATTTAGAATCGAGGGGATCTACGGCAGGGTAAATACCTAATTCGGCGATTGGTCGAGAAAGCACAGTCTATTATAATGGTAAAATATATAAAGGGGATGAATTAATAGCATGGATAATTCTGACTATTTTTTTTTTGGTTTACCGTTGCATCCAAATGTGCGAAAGTAGTACTGGGAGCCGGATCAGTTAAATCATCAGCTGGTACATATACGGCCTGAACTGATGTGATGGAACCTTTTTTTGTAGTTGTAATACGCTCCTGCATAGCACCCATATCAGTGGCCAATCTTTATTAAAGCAATAATTAATAAAAGTAAACAATAATAATTAACATATATATTTAGTATTGATAAAAAAGAAAATTAAACATACGTTGGTTGATAACCCACAGCTGATGGAATACGACCTAATAACGCCGACACTTCGGAACCAGCTTGCGTGAAACGGAAGATATTATCAATAAACAATAACACATCTTGACCTTCATCGTCACGGAAATATTCTGCAATAGTCAAACCAGTCAAAGCAACACGTGCACGAGCTCCTGGAGGTTCATTCATTTGTCCAAACACAAGCGCAGCTTTCGATTCCCCATCAAGTTTTATAACACCAGTTTGTATCATTTCATGGTATAAATCATTTCCTTCGCGAGTTCTTTCACCAACACCCGTAAAAACTGAATATCCACCATGGGCTTTAGCAACATTATTAATAAGTTCCTGAATTAATACGGTTTTTCCTACTCCTGCACCACCAAAAAGTCCGATTTTTCCGCCACGAGCATATGGAGCCAATAAATCGACAACTTTTATACCGGTCTCGAGAACTTCGGGTGTTGTCGATTGGTCAACGTATAATGGGGCATCAGCATGAATTGGTGCTTTCTTTTTGGTATTGATTGGTCCTCGATCATCGATCGGTTCACCAATTACATTAAGAATACGGCCTAAACATTCGGCGCCTACAGGAATTTGAATTGGGCTGCCAGTGTCAGTCACTTTTTGTCCTCGGACAAGTCCTTCCGTACCTTTATTATTATACATCAATGAAGTCAGAAGTGAGAGTTCACAATCTTTATAACTTTAATAGAGATGCATAAGAAATACAATTGACTAACCATCCATTGCTATGGTTCTCACGACATTTTGACCCACTTAATATAATAATAAGAATATTCGCTGTATTTAACATTTTTCAATTTTTTAAATTAAAAATGATTATTGTAAACTTTGGGATACTCGTACAATGTTGTGCCACTTCTAAGACAAGCCTAGAACCTTCTTTTTCAACTTCTAATGAGTTCAAAATTGGAGGCAGCTGGCCCTCCTCAAAGTGAACATCCTAATATCAAGAATTCGTGGAAAATAGATACAGCTATTCGGAAAAAATACCGGTAACGCTTTGAGTACCCAATAAAATAACTAAGAAGAGGACATACCTATTCGCATAATAAATAGCAAGAGCTTTTTTTTAATAAACTGTGACGTCTGTTTTAATTTAACGGTTAAAATAGACCACTTACCACTACAGCACCAATTACAGCTTGAACACTTCCAGTATTAGTAGTAGCAGGCGCGGCATAATTACGATGACGGTGCTTGTTAAATAATATAAAGGTGCTCGACTTCGCAAAGTAGCTAGTGTTGTGTTTGGCGGTATTGTAGTTTTTAAAACTACCCAGTAATGCTCTTCGCGTCAAACTTCCAAAGCCTCGAGCAGCGTTCATGTCGAGTTTCTTTGAAGAGTGGGGAGTAGCAACTTCGTTCGGTTTTACAGTTCAAAAAAAAAACGTTAAAATTTTATAACTGATCACCCGGGTGAATTTGATAATCATTCTGAGAGGTCACGTATCTTCTCAATTCGAGTTATTACTAAGTCCGAGTTCTATATTTAAATCCAGTCCTACGTGGATTGCCAAAGATGGTTATTATTACAAATTTTGTAGAAATTAAATTTTAGACTTTTACATTTTTCTTTGGGAAAAATTGTGTTCCGACATCGGAATTTCAATAGACCTATATATATATATGTAATTTTGGGTTTTGAATAACTTTATTCTAGGCTGTATCAAAATATACATATACACATATATAGAGCACGTCTTTATCGAATACTGACTTTGGTGGTTTATATTATATAGACCGTGAGTTATATCTAGAGTCGGTAATGTCACTTTCAGCAGAGTGCATACAAAATATTTTCCTGTTCCTGTACGAAGATACCGCCGATTTATTTTCTTGTTTACTTGTCAACCGTTTCTGGTGTCAAAACAGTGTAGCACTTTTATGGCGCCGTCCTTGGATTCCTGGACATTCGAGAAACCAAGAATCTGCTTCAAAATTAATACAAATTTATGTTTCATGCTTACCAGAAGAAGCAAAAAAAAATTTAATAAAGAATGGGATAAATTTTCGAACACCATCCACACCTCTTGCTTTTGATTATGCATCGTTCCTTCGCGACCTCGATTATGATCAAATGTACTGGTCGATTATTCAGTGGTTATCCTCTTGTTGGTTCTGGCGAGTTTTAAATGTCGAAGAGGAGGATCAAATTCCAAAATATGAACAATCATCATCACCGTCATCACCATCACCATCATCATCCTCATTATCATCCTCATTATCATCATCCTCATCATCTTCATTATCATCTTCATTATCATCATTATCATCATTATCATCGTCTGCTTCTGACATACAATATTACGATGATATGGCATCGTCATATCGAAGTGAATCGGAAGAAGAGACTGAGGAAGAAACAGAAAGAAAAACCAAATTAGTTGCGAACGAACTGTGTAAACTCTTTATGAGTAAATGTGCTACATTTTTCAGTTTGTGTCTTGCTACGCGAGCTGATCAAGTCGACTATCCATTTCTCCCATCTTTTCCGAATACAGGGAACTATTTGTCAAAACTACGCGAATTTACTTGTCAGGGTGACGAGAAAGCAGAATTATTTATTGCGCTGTCTCAAGTGTGCAAAGATATTCATCGAATCAGTGTTAGTGGAACAAGCTATAGTATTTGGACACCAAATTACGAGGCAGATACTCTTAGCTTAGCCTCTTTAATTAAAGCGCAAACACGACTAAAAAGTCTTTGTCTTTACGGATATCAAGGATTCTTGGCAAATATTCTGAATGCTTTAGAATACCAGCGACATTCTTTGGAATCACTCGAGCTGCGCTATACTGACATTAAATCAGAGAGTGATTGTAATAGTCTAGAGACATTATCTCAATGTGGGAATCTTACATCTTTAAAACTGCACAACTGCTCAATTCCACCAAATGAGAAACTCATGCACTTGACAAAGTTTTCACGACTTGAAGAATTCGACTATTGCAATGAATGGAATCCGTTTTTCGCACTCCCGCCAAACAATTTCTGGGCGACAATGTTTCGAAATACCACAAAAACACTACGTCGTTTATCGTTATGGTGGATCAGAGCCGATCAAAATGACGGCGCGCAAATAATAGAGTATATTGCCGAAAATTGTAAAAACGTCACCTATCTTCACTTGCCGGTTCTCTGGGCGTCTGAAGTGTTTAGAATACTCGATTCATGTATATTACTAAAAACGTTTTTATTTAGCGGCGAAGAATTTGACGCGAATGAAACACTGCCGCAAT